TCAACAGTGGCTGAGGTTTTACAGAATTGACTTATCTAGAATTATATTTTTTAAATTCCCTATTGAAGTAAAAAATGCATCGTTGCACAGAATATCTGCACATACAGAATGTGTACAAAAACTATATATATAAAAACAAAACCTACTACATTACATTAGCTGCTGAACAACTGTGGCAAGTTTGGAACTCCTAGCATGCTCAGCAGCCGCAGCGAAAGTTCTGCTTAGTTATATTCTGTGTCGTATAAAAAAAAAAAGCAGAAAGGATTGGGTGATGCTAAGTTAAATCTATGAGATTTTTCTTCTTTCACTTCCCTGAAACAGATCCAGCTGTTCCATGGCGATTTCCCGTGGGCGCACGGCTTCACTACAACCAGAAAAATTATAAACGCAGTTCCCATTTACTGGTATTTCCAGCTGGGGCGCATGCGAGCTCTTAGCCTACAAATAGCAATGCCACTCGGAGTCACCGAGGAGGTGATTAGCTGCACGGAACGCACAGCTGGTGCAGCTGTACTCCTAAGTGCCTTTAACCTACCGCGCTGGCTCCACAATAGGCAGGGTAAAGCCTTTAGCCACCAGCACATTAGTAACATTCTAACTTGTATCGCTGTTAACCCTTTAAGGTCCAGGGCACCATGAATGTGCTCATTTATTTACCGTATGTTTCCTCTTTCACGTAAAGCTCCATGCATGTGTCACTGTATTTAAAAAGTTAAATAAAATGTTTTCCAGTTACTTTAAAAAAGGCTGACACAAAACGGCTGCCATCATAGAAATTCTCTCATGTCAGTGCGTTAAGTAGGCCGCTGTATTTCAGAGTCGTTTATAATGACAAGCGTCATATTAGTTCTGCGTACACTGTGGCACCAGGTGCTGTAATGAGGCTGAGGACAACGGTGGTTTTGTTTTGCGTGCAGGTAACTTTTTTTGTTTCTGTTTTGGGTGCAGCAGTAAAACTTATGTAGTGGGTTTAGTGTAGTTACAATTAAAGGGGAGCCTAGTCTTTGGGAGGGGGGGGTGTAAAAGAATATTGCATGCAAGGTACCCTCCCCTGCCTCTCACCCCTAAGTGAAGGAATTTAATTGGGCACTCGAGCAGTTGGGTGTGTTATCCTTTTCTTTTTAAGCTCTTCCGTCTCAAATTTCAAATGTGGTTAGTGTTTATTTAATTTTTCTTACATCACTTAACTCTGGAACCAGACACCCAGTACAGACGAACACAAATGTGTTGAAAGACTCCTGTCCCAGACGCTCTGTGCGTTTTTATATGCATCATTGCTATCGATACGCAGAACAATCTCATCTTCGTAAGGCGCCAACAATACATGCATCAGCGACAATTTACACTTTGAGTGAAATTTAAAAAAAAAAAAAAACTGACAGTCAAAGGGTTAAACGTGACTTTTTTTTTGCAGGAGTAAAATGCGTAAAGCGTCATGTGGTGGGAATGCAAAAAAATTTTTTTAAATCGGCTCACAGTGTCGTGAGTTTAAAAAAAAAAAATAACAACTAACAATTAAATTATTATCACCGAGAAAAAAATAAATTAAGAGACAATGCACTATTTGTGACGACCATACGATAGAAAAAAAAAATTTATACAGTTTTTGATGTATGCACAACATCATAATATCGAGATGTAGTTTAGTTCGGGACAAAAAAGCTCTTGTTGCATCTTGGAGATAAATGGGAATTAATTCCCACAGATGAAGCGAGCCAAACACTGCTTGTCTTGTGGCTGCGTTTCCAGTGACATGATGAGAGAAATCACTATAGTAAAAAAAAAAAGAACTTTGAAGGAAGACGCTGCCTTCAGCAGGATTGTTTCTACAAGCTAATTGTACTGAGTGCAGCTGTTAAAGCTTGATCATATGCAATGGGAGGAGGTCATAGACATCTAGACGCCAGCCCTGGTGAGCTCCCACCACCATACTGGCAGTCCCATATTGTTTACCAGACATTATCTCTTCAGCTTCATTTTTCACTCCAATTTCTAACTTGAATGAAAGTAGTGCGGCAGTTCCTTTGAATTAAGAAAAAAAAAAAAGAAAACGAAAAAAAAATCTGTTGTAGATCAGATTCTTGTGGGAAAAAAACATATTCTGGAGCGTTCACAGATAGAAAAAAAAAGAGGCTTCTATGCTTGGGCTGGATGAACTGCAAGTTCAATGAGGCAGTTTGTTAACCCTTCGAGCATCGAAGGTGTGCCCAACGCAATACAAAAAAGCGATGTGATGAGCACACTTTCAGCACTCCACGTTTATGGAGCAAGCCGTGGCATACTTACAGGCCGTGCCGGTGTATGGAGACACATTCTATACAAATAAACATTACAAGGAGATAAATGGATTGGTAAAAATAGTCGGGGGGAGGCGGGGGCGGTTAGGAGGTATTTACCGCCACATGCAATTGTTGATTGACAATATTTGCCACAGTTGTTGATTAGCATAGAATTATCCCACACGATGGACTCCCCACACTGTATATATATTTGAGGGTCATCAATTAACCCTTTCAACCTTTATCATTGTTAGCAAAGTGTCGCCACATTGCTGTTTTAATTAAGTCATGATTGATGAAGTCAGTCAGTGAAAGTCTGTATATTCTACTGGGAGAACATGCGCTATATAATAGGTATCTAGAATATCCATCCAGTAGAAGTAGCACATGTAACAGTGAAAGAATGTACGAATGCTTGCCATCAAATGTTAATTGGTCTATTCACTAAATAGGGAACTGTGGAATATTGATAAAGGATTCGCAAATGTTTAGGCCAAAACAGCCATTTTGGGATAGCTGAATCTTTCCAGTTCTGATATTTTGGGTGAAAATGTACCTTCCCTTTGTCAATTCTCCACAATTCCTACATTTTTATACATCTATAAAAATAATTTTGAAGCATTTCTTTATGCCCTTCTCTGATTATAAAAGGTAATCTGATCATTCTAGTCTGATCTGTGCGATTGGAACTTTCTGAATTAAAAGAATACGATGTAACCTATGCATCAGCGCACCACAATTTGGCACACACATGCTATCATCCTCAGTCAGAACAGCACCATACAGGGCTGTATGTCTGTTTAATGAGAAACATAGTATTTTAACTTTTGTATCATGAAATAGCTCATTTAAATATCCCCATAACGACATCAGGAAAACTGATGTTTCCAATGTGCTAGGTTATTAAATGGTCCTGATGTGGCAGTTCAGTGCCATTATTATACGCTGTTTTGCACATAGAATAGTGGCGTAATGATTTCAGATTTACTTCAGTGGAGGTCCATTCATATTTCCACTAGACCAGTACTACAATTTATCTGCCAGAAAATTTAAAAAAATTAAAAACTTGCTTTGCCTTCTCAAATTTATTGTGATAACAAAATACTTGGGTGACAATATAGTTATGAGATAAATAAATGTGTTAAGTAAAATGTGTTGCATTTTTCTTCTTTATAGTCTCCCCTCCTCGCCTCCTTTCTCTGTAAATCACAAACTACATAATGACTAATAATGACTTGTCTGGCAGCCATTAGACACTACTGTGTGTGATACTCGACGTGAGTGTAAATTTCACACATGCTCAGTCCACTCCTAGAATCGATGTGTGATGTCACGCATTCACATATATTGGAGGTTATTGGAGGGCCGGGACAAGAAGAAAGAACATGCTCATTGCCTTTTCGCCTCAGTCTGCTGAACTTGTTCTCCATCAGATTGACAGCAGCTGCCGCATCACTTCACTCCCGCATACATGCATAGTATCCACCTTACCTTGTATTCCTGGCTACACATGACAGGAAGGAGACAGGATGCATCCTTAGCATGAAATAAAAGCAGAAGAAAACAAAAGATATCTGTAGAGATGGGTAAACTGTGAACACCTTATTTTCCGTGATAGGCCTGATAATATTAGGTATATGTCTACGTGTGTCTGATTGTCCAGGTGAATGTTTATCTTAGTGTCCAGGGTCCAGTTGTGTTGTCAAACTGTCATCAAGAGGTCATCCAAATTCCAAGACCCCAAGATGAATAGATAGATTCTAAGAGTAGAGATTAAATATTTTATATTTTTACAAGTCCTACCTACAGCGTATGAATTCTGCGTAAGAAACTTAGGCTAGAAACTTTCATGAACTGCCTGTGAATATGTGTAAATAATATTTATAATCAAATCCTTTGGATTGTGATGCTGAGGGTTAGTGGCTATTGATGGGTAGCATATCAGACATGTATTAATGGGCCTGATAGTGGCCCCACCATGAACTACACTAAACAGGAAACACATGGTAAGATAAAGAAAAGGGTCCAGCAGTAGTAATGACACAATATTTACCCTCTCCTGCCTCAGCCTGGTTGCTCTGCCAATGGTTCTGACACGGGACGCTGTGTCTCCATGTCTTTTTATGACACATTGTTGTGCACTGACGCCATGACGCAAGTGACATACAATTACAAAATTTGTGATGCCTTATCACTTTCTAGGGGCATAGAAGTACTGCAAATCAAGTTACATGCCATAATTATATATATAGTTTTCTCTGATAATTGTTCTGTGCCCTGTATATATCATCCAAATAACGTGTTCTATAGTGGTATGTAGTGTTTCTCTGGCTTTTTGACCCGGCTTGTCCTGACTATTCTGTAATCTGTTACACTTTGACCCAGCTCAGTTTATCATCATTGTGTACAACTCCTCTCCTTGACCTTGGCTTAACCTGACTCTTCTCTTTTCTCTTTTGAGTAACGTCTGACCACCTTTAGGCTTCCTGTCCTATCAGAATATATATATATATATATATATATACACACACACGTTAGGTGTTGGTGGAAGTGTTAGGATACCAATCCCTACATTGAAAGATAGTGGTGTGTAGGATAGCTGAATTTACATTTACTCTTTGGACTTTCTCATAAATTAAAGTTAACCATGTTCTTATTTTGTTGTGAGATCCTCCTGTCAACAATGCTGAAGGTATGGTGTATGTCGAATGGGTGGTGGAATTTGTAGGCCTAACAGTAGGAATGAAAGGGAACAATGATTTGCTGGGTAAAAAAAGAAGATAAGCAGAGTAAAACAGAAAGTATGAAGAGGTTAACCATTAAATTGAATATCCAGAAAGCAGTAACAATATAGTAATTTGTTAAGTGTTATGTTGTTCGAGCTATGTAGCATTTGTTTGTGTCCATGAAACAAGGAGGATCTGAAAACCATAGAGAGTCAAAAACTCACTCCAGCAGTGTTGATCAGAGTCAGAAGTCCTTCGACATACAAAGTAACAGTAACGTACAGAAAATAAACTGTAGGGAAATTACTATAGAATTAAAATGTTAGGACCAAATAACCAGTTCAGCTATTTCTTCAGTTATTGATTTTAGCCTAAAACCTGAAATTCAATGGTTGGTTCTAGACCATTCCTGGTATACCAAATAACCTTATCTATTATTTCACTACCAACGCATCCTGACATTATATTTACATGTCAAATATGGTTAATTTAGTGAACGCAAGACATCTTAAGAAAACACAGCTATATTCTGGATAGGCTTTGTGGCACCAGGAGTGGGCACAGCTCCATAGTTTTTCCTGAAAATGCAGCAAAGACATTAGAAAATAAAATGAAATGTGATGCAAATACCATCCCATTAAATATAAAAAACAAAGACTTACAGGGTAATTCACGTAAGTAAGAATTTCTAAGA